CGGCCTCCAGGGGGCCTCCAGAGCCCATGGGAGGCAGTTTTCGCCCTCACAGAGGCTCGAGGAAAGCCTCCGGATCCTGGGGAAGGCAAAAACGCGGCCCCCTCCCGCTGTGATGCAGAAGGCCGACTAGGCCACGCCCACCTTGGCCACGCCCACCCAGCAACCAGGCAGAGAACCCGTTGCTGAAATGTTTGAAGCCCCGCCCTTGCCTGGTAACGTCACTCCTCCCCCCTCTGACCAGGTGTGAGCATGCCCTTGGTTCCCCAGAGAAAGTATTTTGTTTTGGCTACAAAACCCCAGCTATCTCTACTCTCTATCCCGTCAGCTCCAGGGTTGACACTGGGACGATGCCACGATCATAAATACACCCTGGTTGCCAAGCGCCCAAAATTTTGATTGGGTGAACCTGGGCATGCGGTGATGGTCCTAACGGCAAGGACCGGCCTTAAGTCTCTTCTCCCCCCCCCCCCAGTGCTGTTGTAACTTTGAGCCGTCACTAAACGAATGGCTGTAAGTCGAGGGATGCCTACCAATGTTGAGGCCCAGCCGCCGTATCCGGGTTCCCCTGTGCCTGTTGAGAACTGACTCCATTTCCATTTAGAAAAACTCAAATAAAACCCTTAACAGAGGCAATCGCCTTGTTTTCCTTTGGCAGAAAAAATGGATTATTGTCACCATTGTGCTGGTGCTGTTAGCTCTACTGGCTCTAATAATTGGCTTGTCTGTTGGGGTGCCGTGATGCTTAGATAACTGCCCACGAGCAACTGCCCCTACTACCTTCTCAGTAAGTACTAATCGACTGGCTGGCCTCGCCTGTTAATCTTTTCTAAAACTGTAATCTCTGTATTCTCACTGCGATGTTGTGCGTACGCTTGCTTTCTTCCCAGCCTGTCTGAGAGCAAAAAAAAAAAAAGGCAGATTTTAACTTAGACCTCCAGTGGCTAATTGTCACTTAAATATTTTGTTTTGCATGCCAATATTTCTAAGTCTAAAACCCAATTGGTTTTGCCCTGCTTTCCTGGGGCCCGTTGGGTTTTTTGTTTTTGTTTTTTGGAGGCTAGGAAGGTGGACATTTGAGGTTTTTACATCAGTTTATAGAAGAGGGGAATGGGATGAAGGGAGATTGAGGATTAAGATCACAGTCGGTAATCTCCTCCTGATCTAGGTGTGCTTGATTTCTGCAGATCTTTTGGGGAGGGGAGGACTCTTTAGGTCGGTTGCTTACCCCATTCCGCCTCGCTTTGAAATGGCTTGCATCTGTATTGTTATGATGGAAAATGCCAAAATGGAAAGGGTGCAGAGAAGAGCAACAAAGAAGCGGACTGGAGGTCAAAAGATACGAAGAAGGGTTGCAGGAATTGGGTAGGTCTAGTTTAATGAAGAGAAGGACTAGGGGGGGGACATGATAGCAGTGTTTCAATATCTAAGGGGCTGCCACAAAAGAAGAGGGAGGAGTTCAAACTCTTCTCCGAGGCACATGAGGCAGGACAAGAAGAAACAAGAATGGAAACTAATCAAGGAGAGAAGCAACTTAGAACTAAGGAGGAATTTCCTGACGGTTAGAACAATTAATCAGTAGAACAAATTGCCTCCAGAAATTGTGGATGCTCCAACACTGGAAATTTTTAATTTTTAATTTTCCAAAGCAGCTGAAGGCAGGACAAGGAGGGGAACTAACTAAGGAGAGAACCAACCTAGAATTAAAGAGAAAGTTCCTGACAATTAGAACAATTAAACAGTAAAATGACTTGGTATCACAAGTTGTGGGTGCTCCATCACTGGAAGTTTTAAAGAAGAGATTGGGTAACCATTTGTCTGAAATGGTATATAGGGCTTCTTGCCTGAGCAGGGGGTTGGACTAAAAGACCTCCAAAGTCCCCTCCAACTCTGTTATTCTGTTAATTCACTTCTTTGGTTTTTATACATCTGTGCATCACTGTTTGGGGCTGAGCTAATCCTAGTTTCCCCTCTCTTTGCAGAAACTGATGTTCATTCTAATTTGTGTCACTCTCTTGACTGTTATCCTTGGAATTATCCTAGCTGCACACTTCTCCTAACCTTTATTTGGAGGTTGGGAGTCTCCTGAAACGCTTCCAAGTTCTCATCAAGATGCCTTTTTCTTGCCATAACGAGGATTTTCTGTTTTCCAAGATGGCAAAAAAAAATTAAGTAGTTGTTTAAGGATCTTGTAGGACTCTTTTAAAGTTTTGATATCTGCAGACCTGAACCAAACATGAAAGAAGCTGGAACACCCTCTGATGTGGACTCGTTTAAAGGCTGCTTTGATTACATACATGCAAATATATATGATGAGTTGCAAAACTTCCAGCACATCAGTGTTACCATTTGGAAATGGGTAGATTCATCACCCAGAAACCAGAGATCTTGAAATTTGTATTGTTTGAAACTAAAGCAGCCCTATTTGCAATTTGACTGTAGTCCTAAATGCTATGTTTCAGAGGTTACGTTTCACGATAATAATTGCATTTTATTTTTAAGCAAAGGTGGTTGAGATTGGGGGGCATAAAGTTGCTTTCTCTTCTCTCCGGTTTTCATGTGTTTTTAAATCATCTTAAAACCACTGCATAATAAACAAAATGTTTTTTTAATGTTTTAATCGCTTCAAGGCCACAGAGTGGGAATCTTAAGTGCCTCCTTTTTTTAACGGGCGAATCTGCAAACTGTTTTTGAGAAACGTCAGCGACCTTGTTAAATAATGTGATTTTACTGGTGGTCCTAGATGACCTGGTTCACACATAAAGCTGGCTGGGGCAAAATCAGGGCTGGAATTCGGTCTTCATACTCAACTGTCCCCTGACTGAGCAAAAACATTGTTTCTTTTTATACAGAAGGTAGTTTGGCATTACATTTGAGCCAGCGATCCTAGTTTAGGATCTTAAACAGAGTAACAAACTAGCCCAGGGCTTGAAATTGACACGACTTGACATTGACTGAAAGTGAGTTTGAAACCATTTTGTCCGCTGAAGTTCACAGTAAGCCAGTTTAGTTGCGTCATAAAATGAAATTAACCTTGACTTGTGAGCCTTCAGAGGACAAAGAAAGCGTGCAAGATTCCAATTCTCAGCTCTGTGCAAAGCTAACACTAAACCCAGCTTTAGTGTCATGTGTGAACTGAAGCCTTCCTTGCCTTAAAGATGTATTTCACTGTGAAGTTTATTAAGCTATTTTGCTTTGTTTTAATTTCAGATTATTTCTTTCTAAACACTCAGAAAGCATGGCATTGTTGAGATGGGGGGTGGGAGATTTGCACCTGATTATTAGGCTGCCTTTGAGAATGGCCTTTGTTGCATCTTTGAACCCCTTCAGTCAAAGAACTTGAGAAAGACCTATTTTGTGTGAAACAGTCCTCATGTGGGATGTGAGTTTGCAAAGCTGCTTCTTGCAACTCTCCATCAATTTAGCAAGGCAGCTGCCGAAAATGAATTTTGAGGTTGCACACACAGAAGTCTAATAAGGGAGAGTGAAGATGCCTTCAAGTTGAATTTTAGGAAGGGGCTTACTTACTAATGGAGTAAAATTGGGATTGCATTATAGATTTGTCCAAAGTGCATTCAGTCCTTACGTTCTTGTTGCCAACTAGTTGAGGAATTATGACGAACAAAAGCCTTTGGTCATTATCTTTTCAAGGCTTTCGTCTTAAAACAAACCCTTATTTTGTCAGGAGAGGTGACTCCAAAAGTTGATGTGGTTTGTGTTGTGATCTCAGTTTATTGGTGGTTAGTTGCACTGAAGTCCCGCAAATGTTTAATGGGGTGTGGGTGACATATTTCCCTCTAGATCTGAACCTGAAATGTCCAGCTGTTAAGAATTTTTAAAACAATTCAGAGGCAACCAAAACGAGTTGTGTCTTAACTTTGCTTTACTTTTTTTTTTTTTGGTATGGTATTATTCCTGTAAATATATGTACATGCAACTGTGTTTTGCTTTCTTATTGTTAAAATATATATGTAGCTATTTATGCTCAGAATGAAATAAACTGTGATAGGTGCCTTATTTGTTTTTTAACAAAACCTGCTTTGACATACTTCTTTCGGTGTTTTGATTCAAGCATAATGTCAGGTTTATTTTACCATGCAAGCTAATCTGTTTCCTAGAACTTACCATTTTATTGGGCACATTGTTGAGGGCATATTTTGTATGCATATAATAATGCCCTTGATGCTAATTTTAGGAATTGGCTTTTTGAAATATCAGTTCTTCCGAGGTGAGTAATGCCTAGAAAAGTTTTTAAATGGGACAGCTCGGCATTAGACATTGACTTCACTTGTCAATGGGTTTGGTTTTGCTCATAAAGATACGCTATGGAAGGATAATTGATTGGTTTATGGCTTTTTTTAAAAAAAAAATTAACTGCCTTTTACTCTTCACAGAGAGAGGTTTGGAAATAAATTGGGAAGAGGGAAAAACTTCTCAGACTATTTAAGCTTTAAGTCCACTTTAAGACCAAAGAATTTCAACTCCCAGAATTCCCAAGTCCACAAGTCTTAAAAGTTGCCAAGGTTGGAGACCTTTGCCTTAAGGCTGTGAAGTTTATTTTTATTGTCTTTTTAAAATGGGAGCTTGACATCCTCAGTATAGGGGGAAAAAAGGTTTGGATATACACAGATTTCCTAAAAATGCAATCCTTGCTGGTTTCTCTTTTTCATGCATTTCTTTTCATGATGCTACAGCAACAGCTTTCAGGAATCTCCTACAGGCAGCTCTGAACAGGGTTTTTGCACTGGCTAAAAAGAGGGAGGTTTGGTTAGCTGGGATTGATCAGGATTACAGCCAGCCTGGTTGTGAGGACCCACCTTCCCCCTTTCATCTGTGCCCAGGCCTTTGCAATATCGGCAGTCTCTCTGCTTCCTGATATTAAAACAATAACATAGTGAGAATTACAAGAAACATTTTTTAAAAAAATCAGCACTATATTCCCAGGCACTGCAGGCATGCGAAATCCTAGCTCTTTTCTAATCATTTTTTAGTTCATTTCAGAGCTTCCTACAAAAATAAATGCAAGGTGTTCAAGAGAGTTATTTATTTTCCTGACCGGCTCAAAGTTGACTCAACCTTCCATCCTTCCGAGGTCAGTAAAAGGAGGACCCAGATTGTTGGGGGCAAAATGCTGACTGTAAATCACTTAGAGAGGGCTGTAAAACACTCTGAAGCGGTATATAAATCTAAGTGCTATAGATATTTTCCTTCCTTCCTTCCTTCCTTCCTTCCTTCCTTCCTTCCTTCCTTCCTTCCTTCC